AATCCCAAACTTTCTTCATTCAATAATCAAGTTATTTGACGGAGTCAATTAGTCAAATGGTCACTCAACTATCCGAAATTACCTTCTAAAGTTATCTTTTTTTCGTTTGTAACAGCAAAGTTACTCAACTAAATTTTTTAAATTTTTGATTGCCAAATATCTATTTTACCCTCTAAATTTATCAATTTTTTTTTAAAAAAACTTTTTAATATTATAAATTTTTTCTCTTTTTAATTTATATTACAGACTTACCTATAGAATAAATAAATTTAATTTATAAATTAAAAAAAGTATTTAAGCATGTATAATGCTGGAATAATAAAATGTTGAGCATAAAAAAATAGTTAACTAGAATAATTTGTTAGTAATGATATTTTGATATTAATAATGAAAACTCAAAATTTATTTACATAATTGAGAATGAAAAAAAATAAAAGTTTTAAAATATATATACTCTATGCATGTAATAAAAAAATAATTAAACAAAGATATTTTTATAATATGCATTATATATTCTTGAAAATTATGCTCAATTATATTATTATTCTGATATTATGTATGCTAGAATATTTTTTAATTTTAAAAATAAATTTATTTGTTCTATAGGTAAGTCCATAATGTAGATTAAAAAGAGAAACAATCATAATATTTTAAAAGTAAATAAAAGAAGAAGATTAAAGCTGATAATTTAGAAGTAAAATAGGTATTTGGCGATTAAAAGTTTGAGAAATTGGGTTGAGCGACCTTATGAGTGTTATAGACATAGTTAAATGACTTTTCTATTATAAACGAAAGAAATATAACGTTACTAGATAATTTCAGATAATTGAGTGACCATTTAAGTAATGAGCTCTTATACAAAGGTATCAAGCTTGTTTAGTTTGTTAACTGAACATCAAAATTTACAACTTACTAAGTCATTAATTGTTACAGATTCAGTAAATCTACCATTGGATCGTTTATAAGTGTCAATTGAACAATTAATTACCTATATCTTACCCAAAATTGGTATTTCGCTCTTTTAATCATCCAGCTCTAGATCAAAAACTTAGGGGCCGTTTGGCCATACAAAAAATTTTCACATCTTTTTCATTTTTTTTTTCTTTCAAAATTAGCGTTTGACCATGAAATTTTTAATTTTCACTTAAAAATGAATTTCAAAATTTTGAAAAATCCAAAAGTCTATTTTTTAAAATTTTTACTTTAAGAGCCCGTTTGGACATAAATCTTTTTTTTCTTTTTTCCAAAAAAAATTTAATTTTTTTCGAAATCATCCTTTGTTTATAAAATTTCCAATTTTCACTTGAAGATGCATTTTGAAAATTTTCGAAAATTTAAAAAACTCCAAAAAACTGTTTTTCAAAATTTTCACTCAAATCACTCACAAAACTTCAAAAACAGCCCAAACTGAAATTTATGTCCAAACACAATTCTAAATTTCAAATACCATTTTCACTTGAAAATTTTTTTCACCATTTTTTGAAATTTTACAATTCTTATGTCCAAACACAACTCTAACTTTCAAATATCATTTTAACTTTTTTTTCCCCACTTTTTTTCGTAATTTTATAATTCTGATGTCCAAACGCCCACTTAATTTTCTCTCAACAATCTTTGTAAAGGGAGTTGTGCCTACCACTATATCTATCTGGCCCTACTAGTTACTTATTGTTGACCATGCTTAGCCAGGTAAATGCTTGCTCGTACGCAATGTTATAACAAATCAAATAATTTAACTTTAATAGTTAAAATTAAAATGAAGATACTTACCAAATCATGACTTAGTAACAAATGCACAAGAATAACACATATATTGTATTTATTAATTTAGTATAAACATTTGGTACTGGTAAATTTACCCTATGCTATAATGTTTGTATCCATCACAATTAATTGTGAGAAGAAAATATAAAGAAATGGTGTATAAGGTAAAATTGATTTATAATAAATGATAGAATGACAACATGACACGTGAGACCGAAGACAGGTAAAAAGCGAATCAAGTAACAATCATTACCAGGAGCAACAACTGCAATCGATATCGGATAAACCCCGAGGGGAGTCTGGTCAACGAGAGCAGACCAAATATTTGCTATTGGATAGCATTCAATGAAGAATATTCTCTAACACTAAATGGGCAGCCGTTGCAGAGAATATTTATATTCATGACCTGTCATTACATCTTCAACAATGACTCCTTCATTGTCATTTAAGTGGGGCTTGATCCTAGGATCTTGTTTCTCTCGGTATAGCTATAAATAACATGCTCATCAACCATTGTAAGATACGAAATTCTTGACAAACTTATATTTTATTCCACTTTTGCTCTCAATTAAAACAACTTTATTTATTTTTTTACATTGTACTTATTTCTGTCCTCGGAGATGCTGTTATTGGAGTCAGGTTTGTCATCTTTTTCAATTTCAATTGCTAAGTCTTATTTCTAATCTTGTTTATTTATTATTTTTAAATCAAATCAGTTCGATTGTTTATAAATCACGTAACAAATTCAACTATTCTGTTTTACGAGTAAACAAACGATAACGAGAAATGAAAAACTAGAGGAAGTGAAAATGAGTAATGAACAGGAAAAGGCGGTGCACGCGGAGCCTGAAGTCGTGAGAAGTTGCGTGGTTTGAAGGGAAGACGCTTCTCCTCCCTGCCTATAAGTTGAAGCTTTGTCATTCTTATTTGGTGCTTTATTTTTATACTGGGAGAGATTTGTTAAGAAATTACAACAACAAGCCCCGTAAAATCTTATAAATAGGGTTTGGGAAGGGTAAAGTGTACGCATACCTTAGTCCTACTTAATAAAACTATTTGGATATATAATTCACTTGTGAGATATATATTCAACATAGATTGATTCATCTAAATTATATAAATAAAATATATAACAAGGGAAGAAGCCTAAATATTTTAATTTTATCTCTCATCATATTTTTGGGTCATTCATTTCTTTACTGTTAGCAAATTATTTTCCACCGTTGAAATATTTTCGGCGAAAAGTTTAAATTTATTCCTCTATCTTTCTTTATGGTGTAAAATTACTGCCGATATACTTAGTTAGAATTCCATTAGAGTTAATGACAAATTTGAAACATTTAAATAACAACAAGAGTATGATTAATCCTAAAATAGTAGTATAAGGAATGATAAAATTAAGATTTTTTGAGAGACAAGCCTTGTGACCCAACCGTACAGAAGAAGAGGCAGATGGGCAGTGGGAAACTAAAGCCCTTTTGCCGTGTTGTCGGAGGAAAGTGATTGTGATTATGACTGAAATGTGAATAAGTGACTGACTCAGTAGAAAAATAGGCGAGAATAATCACCCAAATCAAAATCAAACTATTTTGAAGTTTTTGACTGGAAAATGTGGCTCTCTTACGGGGGATGCAGGCTCATAACACCGGTTATTTATTTTCACGTGATAGTATAAATTTATATGCAAAGGTTTATTATAATTATATCTTTTCTATCTCAAATTATCTGTCTTGATTTCTAAAAGTAGTTGTTTCAATTTTTTTATCATTTTAAAAGTTTAACACAGTTGTTGTTCCTGAAAATGATATTGTTCTTAGCTAAGCCACAGAAGAAACTCGATCTGCAGATGTTTTCAATCATCTCAAATCAGTTTGTTCGACTTAAAATTTATTTCAGTTTTATAACTTGAACTTCAATTTTACAAATTACAATACTTCCTTTTTAGTTTTAACAAGAATGCTTCTTCTAATTTTTATTTTTTTGGTAAACAAATGTTTTAAGTTTAACTGCAAAAAAAAAAAAAAAGAAAAAAAAAAGAACATAAACAAGATCTGCTAACCGACACAAGATGTCTGTTTTTTGCTGTCAAGCAAAATAAAAATTACTCTATTTCTGATCAATGACAAATACATTTTTTGTCTGTATTCAGTTCTCATTAAAATTGAGCCATTTTAAAAGTAACTCCAATTTGATTCAAAACAATATATTTAATTGTCTATATTGTGAAAAGGCATTTTTTGAGGAAAATTTTACATAGATACTTTGCTTGCTTATTTTTCTAAAAACATTTTTTATGATTTTTTTTTCTGTTTTTGTATTAATTTTCTCCTTACATAAAACATATTTATAAATGACTTCTTCTAATTTTAACCTTACATTTATTTTATTATATTAGGTATAAAATGAAAAGATCTTTAATGTTACTTAGAATTTTGCAAATAATTTTTATTCATAAAGTTATATCTTTAAAAATATTAATTTTGAACTCATTTTTGGACAAAGGTTGGTGCAATTATTATTAATGGATTTCAACTGTAACATTACGTTGGCATCATCATAGAGATGTAATTAACCTCATAAGGAAATCATTATTCAATTTCAAGTTCAAACTAATATTTTGTACCTAAATTAAAGAATTATTTAACGTTAGGGCCGGTGTTTACAAATTAAAAGAAAAGGTATTATAGTTAATTTTACATATTATCCTAAATATTACGGACATCACTTGATTTCATAGGATTAATTCTAGACTAGTCATATATAAGAAATTAACTGTTCTTTGTCAAAGTAACCGAGGTAGCATCTCTGTAGTTTTGCCTGCTCGATCTTGCTAATAAACTCATTTTAATTACATACGGATAGAGAGAGAGGAAAGTTCAGTACACGAACGCTAATCCTAAATTAAATATTACAGCTTGTTCAGTAATTCATATATATGTTCTTTGCATATTACAGATGGGAAAGTTGGAGATGTTCTTAACTTTTTTTGTCCTCGGTTAAGTTTCATACTCTCTACTGTCTCTAGGGGGGTACTAATTTAATAAGGGCTCATTAGGTTCACATATCGAAATAGTAGTCCAACCCCTACTTAAAAAAAAAAAAAAAAAAAAGAGGAAAGAATTAATAACCATACTGGTACTTATAATCCTATTATCTTCACCAAAAAGAATCAATTGCAACCAAATTCATGTGAAGAAAAAATTTACTAGGAAGGATCAGCAAATCAACTGAAATTTTCAGTCACTTGTAACTCTCATGACGATTCTAGTTCTTTTCTCTCCACCCATAGTCACATTCCTCACCCCCAACACCTTACACTTCCGAAACAATTTCACCACTTCCTCCACCTCTTCGCCGCCGCACTCTTCCACAGCCACTACACACGCGCCGCCAACTCTCACCGCTCTCTCCATTTCCCTAACATATCTATCCGGAAACAATGCCCGATCCAGATAAGAGCTAAAACCGAGATCAAACGCATTATCAAAAAACGGCAGATTATGCGGATCCGCACGGCTGACTAGCGGCGGTGAGTCCACAAGCTCAACTCCCGTTACGTCGCGAAAGCCCATTTCTTTTAGGGCCATAACAGCAGGACCCGGCCCGGCGGTGACCACAAGGGCCCGCGAATGTTTAGAAAATAGATTTTTTTCCTGTAGAGTTTGGAACTGAGCTTTAAATGAATCAACTGTTTGGATCCAGGCTTTTGTAGACCATAAACGACGGTTGTGTTTTCTTATGGAGGTTTTAGCTCGGTTGGAGAAATCGCAGGTGGATTTGGGGAAACGGTGGTGTGGCTTAGGTTTGGTGAGATTAGGATTAACGCAGGTTTCAGGGGTTTTAATGAAGAGGAGGAAAAGGATAAGGGTGGCTAAAATGAGGAAGGCTAAAGATAGCTTGTTGAGGAAGCTTTGGACGTATTTATCCATTGTTGTTTGATGAAGATTGAAAGGGAGTGATGAAACATTGCCGTTTTACAAGGATGAACGATAGTTTGTTCAGTTGGGAAAATGTATTCGAAGGATTATGATACATACCAGGAATTTTCGCAAGGTATTCAAATTTTAAAAAAAGTAAAACCAAAACAAATGAATTCATTTGTTTAATATTTGTTATGATTTGGTTTATATATTTAAGCAAATCAACTTAGTTTATTTAGATTTTTTGTAAGTAAAAGTTGAACCACTGAAACAAAACAACCTAATTATTGTTGGTAAGCCTTTTAACGGGGATATGAGTATAATAACACGCATACTAATTACGGACAGCTCTTGATTTCATAGGATTAATTCTAGACTAGTTATTTATAAGAAATTAACTGTTTTTTGTCAAAGTAACCGAGGTAGCATCTCTGTAGTTTTGCCTGCTCGATCTTGCTAATAAACTCATTTTAATTACACACGGAGAGAGAGAGAAGTTCATTACACGAACACTAATCCTAAATTAAATATTTGAGCAGGCCAGTGATTAAAGGTGGCATATCTAAAAGGTAAACCCTTCGTCCAATTACGTGCTTAAAACTTATGTTGATCCACTAAAATGTAGTACTACTACTAAATTTGTTCTCTGTGTTATAAAATGAAAGCAACTTAGTAAAACATGAACAAGACATGTTGTTATGAAATAAAAATAATTTAGTAAAACATGAACAAGAAATGAAGATAAAGAGAAGGAAGAGATTTTCTTCTTCAATTGTGTGTATCTTCCTATTTATTACAAAACCTTTATATAGGCATGAAAAGTGAAGAAATATTTGTCATTGAATATGTCATTAAGCATAGAAATATGTCATTAAGCATTTGAGAAGATCATGGAGGAAGAGTAGACATCCACCATAATTTGATTTTTCTTATAACACTTCCCCTTGGATGTCCATAGATAATGTGCCTCGTTAAAACCTTATTAAGAAAAAACCCTATGGGAAAAAAAATCCTAGTGAAGGAAAAAGAGTATACATGTTTAGAAATTCGCCTTTTAGTTGCCTCGTTAAAAATATTGCAAGGAAAACCCAGTGGGACAAAACCTTATAAGGAAAAAAGAGTACAACGCGTATTAACTCCCCCTGATGAGAGAATCAATTCACATCCTTGAGCCTTCACATCCCAATCTTGTACACTAGTTTCTTGAAGGTTGACGTGGGTAGAGATTTGGTGAACAGATTAGCCATATTATCACTTGAACGGATCTGTTTCACATTGATATCACCATTCTTTTGAAGATCATGTGTGAAAAATAACTTTGGTGAAATTTGCTTTGTCCTATCCCCTTTATAAATCCTCCCTTCAATTGGGCTATGCATGTTGCATTGTCTTCATATAAAATTGTGGGTAGTTTGTCACACTTCAAACCATATTTGTCTCGAATAAAGTATATTATAGACCTCAACCATACACATTCTCGACTTGCTTCATGAATAGCAATTATCTCAGCATGATTAGATGAAGTAGCCACGATTGATTGCTTAGTCGATCGCCAAGATATGGCAGTGCCTCCATATGTAAACACATAGCCTGTTTGAGATCGAGCCTTGTGCGAGTCATATAAATACCTAGCATCGACATAACCAACAAGATCGGGACTACAATCATTGCCATAAAATAATCTCATATGGTAGTCCCTTTTAGATATCGCAATATGTGTTTGATTCCATTCCAATATCTCCTTGTAGGAGCAGAGCTATATCTTGTTAAGACATTAACTGAAAAAGTTATGTCAGACCTTGTAATGTTAGAAAGATATATTAGTGCACCAATTGCACTAAGATATGGTACTTCGGGACCAATAAGCTCTTCATTATTTTTATGAGGTCGGAATGGATGTACTTTATCTATATATAATCACTTTAAAATCATTTTAGTGTATGCTGATTGATGGACAAAAACTCCATCTTTCATATACTCAATTTGTAGACCAAGACAAAATTCTGTCTTTCCAAGATCTTTCATTTCAAATTCTTTCTTTAAATAGTCTACTGCTTTAGGAAGCTCTACTACTTTAGGAAGCTCCCTAGGAGTTGCAATGATATTTAAATCATTAACATATACGGTGATTATAACAAATTTAGATCCATATCTTTTTATAAAGATACAAGGACAAATTGAATCCTTCTTGTACCTTTTTTCAACAGGTACTCACTCAGGCGACTATACCACATGAGCCCTGATTGTTTCAATCCGTATAAGAATTTTTGAAGCTTTATTTAATAAATTTCTTGGAAACCTTAATATGCTTTAGAACAATTTAAATCCTTTAATGATTTCCATTATACGCATATCACGTTTTTCTTATATTGTAAGATTAAAACCTGAAATGACGACATCCACCACATGAGAACATGTCTCTATATAATCAATGCCAGGATATTTACAAATTTTTTTGTGACACAAGTCGTCTTTATGTTTATCGACTTGCCTTTTTTTTCCGCAAAAGAACGCATTTATACCTCCACTGGCTTTATACTTTCAGGTGTTGGGACTATCCGTCCAACTTCATATTTTTCAGGTGAACTCACTTTTCATTGCGTATTTTTCATTTAGCCAATCATTTATTTGTCCAAATTTCATGATAGATTTGAGCTGAAGATCATCGTCAATATTAATAATATTGAGCGCTACATTAAATTAACAATATCGTCGACGATCATTTTATATCGGTTCTACTATTACCCAATAAAGACATAACTTATTGAGATCTCTTTATCTTATTATTTTCAGGTACCTGAGCCTTTCCCATGAGGTCTTATGAAGTGTTATGTCGTGGTGCTCTTCTAGAGCATTTGCCTCTTTATTATGACCATCTTGAACATTTGCTCCTCTCCTTTTTAAATGAGTTTTATCTTTGGAACCGATTAGTCTATTATGCTTCATGCATGCCATAGACTCTATTCATTATGAACTTTATTTTATTTGGAGCATTAGCAGCTGAATATGATATTTAACTTTGGGTCAGCAAATACGCCTGGCAATATTTTGCAAATGAATTATCCCTTGAACTTCAAGTTCACATTTTCTCATACGAGGATCTAGATGTACTCATAATAATTCATTACATGCATTACTTTTTTAGCTGCCTATTTTCTCCCCCTATTGTTGGGATCACCGACACATATCCTTAGCCTTATTTGGGGATCCATCTTTGTACATTGTGGTGGAACAATTAAATCATATAGCACATTCATATTTCTAGATAGAAATTATTTGGTTCTTGACCCTGAATCGACTGTGATAGGGAGAACTTATCTTAATTTGGCTAGATGCGTACAAGTGCTGTTGTATATTAAATAATACATCACATACCAAATTTTATTTTGGAAATTTTGTTCTCATAACTAATGGTTTAGCTATAATTGGAGGCATACAATTTCTGCTAAACCAACTTGGATTTAAACCAGTATTATCAAGATAAATAATCATAATTTATATTTTGGAACTATGCTCTAATAATTTGAGCAACCAATCTTGCAAAAGCCAAACTACAAGTTGACAACAAATGCACATGTGACCAAAGAATAGATGTATCTATTAAAACCATATAATAGTAAACGGTCCACATGGAAGGTGACTGGGCCCATATATTTATCACCTTTTATTCGTTTCAGAAATCAAGGGATTCAATCCCAACCTTAATTGGTATATCATGAGAATAAGCAGCACAAGAGAATTCTTGAAGAATCTTATATTTCTTCAATATATGCCAATGTAATTCTCAATTAATTTTTTCGCATCATAATTGAATCGAGATGGTCAACCGGTCATGCCAACTAATATTTATTTCAGTAAACCTTTAGTTTACTTGTGGCTTGTGATTGCATCATCATGCTTATACTTGTGTAGTACAAATAGAAGAAAAGTCAGGTAACCTTTCATATTTACCCGGTATGATTATAGTAATATAAAGATATTCAATCTTCTTTTCATTTATAGTCTCAATATGCCAACTACTTTGGCTAATATATTTGTAAATTAAAATATTTTTTTTGAGATTTACTACAATATTAATGTCATGAATAATTTTATTCATCCGGTTAGTAACAAATTAGTTCTTTCAGAGCTCTTAACTGCTTTTGTACTACAAGATCTTTTGTCACACTATCCAAATAATGAATGTCTCCTTCACAAAGAGAATCATATCATAATAATTGTCATGTTCAAAATCATCACAAGCAAAATAATTTCTTGCTTTAATTTTGCTTTTAATAACTATCATAAGGCATGACAAAATATTTTTGGCGTATCATATGTATTCGACCAATGATATATTCATGTAACTATACAATAATATTCATTATCTTTCTTTGTCTCAAACCTCTCTTAGAGGCGAGTTGTAGTATTTATCCAACTATGCACAAGTATATTATTATGCATAATCTTTATCATATATATATTTTCACATTCACTTTCAGGAATGGGTATGCAATCTCAATGTTTATCACAAGTCACATTCTCTTCAAAGAATTTCTCCCTTTTTATAATTACCATAGTGATAACTATTATTATTTTGGCCTTTCGCACGCCCACATTCATTGGTCAACCACTTGTCTTTATTTAGACTTATCATGCACTGCTATCACATTCACTTCAAGAATGGAGCAAATCAAGTGGGACAAGCTTCATGCTTTTTCATGAAAATTACATTATTTTTTCTTTAGTTATTATTATTATTATCAATATGGTGCATTATGACTCAAACCCAATGCCTTACCCATGTAAAGGCATGCTAGGCCATAATGCGTTGGAACTTGAATCCAACGTCTTTTCATCAACATAGTGCATTGGGACTTGAACCCATTGTCTTACCCTCAATCTTTGGCATAATAGGCCAAAATTTACTAGGATTCGCACTCGAGTCTTTAAAATATTATTACTTTATAATTATAGGCATAAGTAAATTAACTTTCAAGAAGATATATATAACTATTTCAATCTTAAAACAGTTCCTCTGCAACAAAAATGCTAGTTAGGATATATGTCAATTTTGCTTTCAATGAAATACATCATGTTATGGCAAAAATATTATTACTAAATTACCTTAATAGTTATCTATCATAATATGTAAAAGGTGAGAACATATATATACGTTGGAATATTATCTTTGTCCTATAAGAGATGTAGCAAATAAAGACATACCTTTCCAGTTCTTTATTTCACTAGATACAATTGAAAAAAATATTTTTACTAAACACTGCACATAAAACTAATGCAAAAATATGAAAGTATGAATGGGTTTAGATGGATGTAAAACTTATCTTTGTATTATCATCCAAGACATTTTTCATTGTACTTGATCTCATTGTCTGCTTATAATTTACATAGTCTTGACGTAGAAGATCATGAAATGAGCAATTCGTGCTGATAACGTGTTATAAAATGAAAGCAACTTAGTAAAACATGAACAAGACATGTTGTTATGAAATAAAAGCAATTTAGTAAAACATGAACAAGAAATGGAGATAGAGAGAAGAAAGAGATTTTCTTCTTCAATTGTGTGTATCTTCCTATCTATTACAAGGCCTTTATATAGGCATAAAAAGTGAAGCAAAATTTGTCATTGAATATGTCATTAAGCATAGAAATATGTCATTGAATATGTCATTAAGCATTTGAGAAGATCGTGGAGAAAGAGTAGACATCCACCATAATTTAATTTTTCTTATAACACTCTGCACTTTTTAGTGCTTTTTCTCAATGTTTTTATGATAGAGTGTACTTTTCCTCAGTATTCTATTACCAAAAAAATCCTTAAAGTGGAAGATTAACCTTAAATCTCTAACAAAATTAAATTTAATGAGAGCAATCTTTTTTCCACTACCAAAGTCAATATTGCCAATACATAATAATTAATAATAACAACAAATCCAGTACTCCTAGAATTCGGAGACATACTTGATAAATTAATATAATAGTAAATATTTTGAAGGAAATAAACTTCAAACGGGCTAGTCACAAGGTGGACCGATAACAGGTTGTCATGGAAGTAGTAGTAATCAATTTTAGTCCAGAGGCGAAGCCAATTAAATGTAATGGATTTGGAATTCTAACCCGTTTATGTCACTGAGTTCTAAATTAATAATTTTTACATAGATATCTTAAGACAAACAAAAATTACTGGATTCGATCGAACCCGGAAGAGTCATGCTAGCTCCGCCCCTGATTTTAGTCGTAGCCATAGGCCGTGAGTATAACGTACTAACAAGTCCAGAAGTTCGGGTATATATTTGCCAGAAAGGTCCACAAATAAACGTGTCAAGTCATATTGCCGGTTACAATAACCAAATAACAATCAAACCCCAAAACTTATACTAGTAACTAATGTACACGGGAAAAGAAGAAACAGATTAGATCCAACAGATGAAGGTAAATATGTCGATCCAGAAAATAGAAAAAAATTCGGACATGCTGTTCCAGATTTATTGCTTTTATACATAATCTGCGTCTGATTTAACTAGCACTTGTATTGCTCCTTAGACCGGCACCATTCTTCTAACGTAGGAGTTGCCACCCCCACATTTTTCATGTCAAATATGTTCGCTGCAACACAAAAAAAACAGCACAGCTATCAGCAGCTTGAGATGGATTATAAATGATCCAAACATCTGCTTTTGCTTTAAATGAATCCAGGTGAGATCGATGTCAAATTAGCTTTTAAAGAACCAAGATCATGGGTTCACATGAGCTTATGTTTTAAGTTTCAGTTTCACTTAGGCCAAAGCAGGAAAAACTAGTTTCATTAAAAATAGGATTGCTAAGAGCCTAAGACCACCAAAACACAGCAGAACAGATCCGCCAATTAAACTGAAAGGCTGGATCGCTGCTCTCAAATGAGGAAGAGACCAATAATTCTTTCACCCTACAAATGGAACTTACAGGAATTGTCATGTAAGACACAATTTAATGTCTAAATTAGCAAAGTACATAAAAATACCGAAATCGCAAGGAACAAAGCAGTGAAAACCAACAGAAGCAGTGAAACTTAGTTTAAGTCTGGAAATCTTTCCGCTGTCCACCTCCAACCTAGCCCCCAAAGAAGAAAATGTGAAAAGAAAGTCTCAGGTTGTACCTCACCATTCACAGATGAAAAACTGACTCTTATTAGAGTTGGATCTGGTTTACAAATAGAGGAATACATCCAATCACCAATGGTATACTAAAACTGTTATTATTAAATACATATATTTTTTTATAGACAAATGATGACCATTGGCAGTCTCCTAGTTTGAACGCTATAATTGTTCCATGATCTAGACAGTTTGAAGGACCGGTACCATGTCTGACTTCTCTACGACTTGTGCAAGCAGCTGCTGCCAAGGGCAAACACGAATAGTCGAAAATAGCTCATATGTTTTAGTGAATGTCGTAGTGCAAAACATGATTACAGTTGAAAGTTATTGTTTGATATACTTTCAGAGTTCTTCTGTATTTCCTGAATATTCGAGTTTATGGCTTAGATAAGTATGGATCCAAACTTAAGATTATTGCTTAGAAAAGTATGGATCTGAACCATTTTACACAGTAATTTCTTAATTTCAAGTTTTCCGAGGCAGAAAATAAGGCCACCTGGGTGTCTTGACTTTCAAATATGTGGAATATTGATCTATGCATCTAAGTGCAAATAAACTTCACAAGATTTATGTGGTTCGGCAATTTTTGCCTAATCCAAGCCACAAAGAAAACAGTTTTATTAGCCTAACACGCTTCTCATCAACCGCTAAAATTCAATGGCTGTAGTCCTAATTTTAAACCATCCTCACCATCTACAAAGTAAGCATAAATGCATGTATCGAGGATGAGGAGAAATGTCGACCCCTGTGGTCTGAACTTATGATCCGGTTAAGTGATCGTCAATTGTAATTTTTAACCATTTAAAATAAGATATTGTATAAAGTTATTTAATAGTTAATACTAATCAAGTCCGCTCATACCTAGATTAAAGGGCAAGTAGCCATATGCTATTTAGAAAAAACAGTTCAATAAGTAAAGAAGCACCTAAACGTCTGCTTTGTGAAATCTGTTACCCTTCACTAGGTGCTGGGGAATAATACATACCGATATGTATATCAGGAGTAGCAGCAGCTGTGGCATCTATAATGACCGTAACACGTTCATAGTCCAATGCTACAGCATCAAAGACAGTCTGCCGTATGCAGTTTGGAGTTTGAACACCTAAACAAGAAAATTTATCAGCCATTTGACAAATACAAACACATCAGTTAATCGAACCATAAAGTCTATAGCTGGAGAAAAACTCGATTATAAGTATCCAATTACCAATAATGACCAAGTTGGTAATGCCAATGCCCTGAAGATACGAATGAAGGTTCGTGTTAAAAAATGCACTGAACCGTGTTTTCACCAATTTGTAATCATCTTCCTCAATAACAAGCCCATCAACTAGCTCTGCCCCCACACTACCCTTTGATGTTGGTTTTGGTTTTCCATCACCATATAAATGCCGACGAAACAATTCAACATCTCTACCTAATTGATCATGCTCACGGACAACCTACAACAAATGGGCCACATGGGATTTGTATGTTAGTAACAAGTTTAACTTCCACACACTGGCAGTCTATAATAAAAGGGCAGCCCAGTGCACTAAGCTCGCGGGGTCCGGGGAAGGGCCGGACCACAAGGGTGTGTTGTACGCAGCCTAACCCTGCATTTCTGCAAGAGGCTGTTTCCACGGCTCGAAGCCGTCACATGGCGGCAACTTTACCGGCAGTCTATAGTGTCACCTAAAAAATAACTACGCGTAACAATTCACATAAACTAGAACTAGTAACCTAAAAATAAGGCTGCTTGCACATTGTAATAAGTTAAAGTACATGGATAGTGTAAATATATATAAGTTTGCACAGTCAGTTAAATCCGTCAATAATTCCTGTTAATCAAAGAAAGATTTTAACTTTGCAGCTAAAAAGGCAAAGAAAAAGGGCTGTGACAAATTTAGGAGCAAGTTAAGAATACCCAAATAATGGGGATGCCGCGGCTTCTTGTAACCTCAACGGTCTTGATAACGTTAGGAACAATAGCTTCGCCTCCTTTAACTAGCATAGGAGCACCTGGTAGTACAAAATCTTTCTGGAAATATAAGTAAAAATTACATATTGTCAAATAAATCAAGAAATTCGAAGAAATGATTGCTTTTATGCTGAATAAGAAGAATATAACAAAGATATACCTGCATGTCTATGACAAGAAGAGCAGTTTTGTTCCATTTACAACCATTTTCTGAGGCCATTTGCTGATTACAAACTTTGAATTGCCAGAAAGATTTGAGACTAACAAGTCTTGCTTTGATCGGTCTCGAGTTTATCCCCTCCACCCAGTTTCAACACTTTCAACTAATCATTACTTTGTTAATATTTCGAACTTGGTTGGGCCAGGCTAATTAATTGGGATTTTATACAAATAGCCTTCACGGTAGATTATACATTCATTATACGCAATTATACATATATAATTCATAAATAATACATATGTTATACTTTCATCGCCTATTTTTAGTTTAATTGGTTGGCTTGACGGTTATTTGGGTTAATTTTTCCTTTTTTTCTTTCACTCGGTGAATATTTTATCTACAGATCCATTGGGCTTTGGTCTAGGCCTGGTGCAATCACTTCTCTATGGTGGCCTTTTGCTTTAACTGGTATGTTTTCCTCCTCCTTTTTATTCACCAAACCACCCCCCCCCCCCCCCCCCCCCGATATTTAGTATAATTCATTTAACTGTTCTTTTATAAGTTTATATAGATCTTACATTTTAATAAATAACCCACCCAAAGATTACTTGAGCTGAGATGGGCTAGGTCAAAATAGGTTAACAAGCGGATCATAACCCAACCCGTCCAATTTTTATCAAGTATTAATATTTTTTTTCTTTATTTTCTTACCATTTATTTAATTACCAAACAAAACTAATAAAACTTTTTATTCTTTATTATAGCTATATATAACATAAAAACAACAACAAAAAAAAAAAAATTCAAAAATATTTTGATAAGGTTTCTCATGGGTCAATTTGAGCTACATTTTAGCTCATTTAGGCTAGCCCAAATTTAAATGGGCTGAATTGGTAGGTCAAATGGGCTGAGTAAAAAAAAAATAGGTATTTTACCTAGCTATACTATATTAAAAACTTATTTACCTATATTCTTTATATTTTGCAGTTTTTAATAAGTATCTAGGTTTTTCTTATAACTTGTATACATTGCTTCTTAAAAGGTTCCTAATCATTATTAGAGTCTTCAATTAAAGGATTCAATTACATCTTTTCCTTTTTTCCCCTTTCTCCTCTTCTCTCTCCTTTTTTTAAAAATCAAAATCCCTTAATCTACGTCCAGAATCTCCATATTCTCTCTTCACCATTGCCGACAGCTTTATATTATTAAAAAATATTCAGAAATTGTATGATAACTATATCATAATTGTAGTTGAATTGTATCAGATACATCAATGCCTAAAACATAAATGTATCAACATGTATCACAATTGTATCTAACTTGTATCGGGTACATTAATACCCAAAATAATACCTGATACAATACTAATAAATTAATATACAGTTATCATATTTGTGATACAAATTGTGAAATTCGTCACGAATTCACAACTGCTCGTAACAATATACAATGAATACACAACAATCATACATTTGTAATACAATTTCTCTAACAAATTATGATACATATACAATTATAATACAATCCCGATATATTTTCTAAAAAATTATGATACAATTATGATCTTCATCGTCCTCAAGTTTCAATCACAACTCTATACTAAAAATTTAATATATTAGTATTATAATTGTATTAGTATTGTATCCACAACTTACCCACAACTTGATTGTGAAGCAAAATTTTGAATTTCTTCTGTATTGTATAAAAAAAAGAAAGAGATTTTGGATGATTGAAAGAGAGAAATCGGATATCAAAAGCTTCAGAAGAGGAAATAATCTGCAATTTTGAGGGGATAACAGTAGATGATTGAAAGAGAGAAATCGGATATCAAAAGCTTTGGAAGATGAGTGAGTAAGCGAGATTTTTGGGTTAGAAAGATTTTGGGTATAAGTGGGGTAAGGGAGAACTCTTACGGTGGGTAAGTACAAATTTGGGTAATTGTTAAAGGAAGAGAGAAGATGTTTTTATAATCCTTTGGAAAAGGAAGAGAATCTTAAATGCAGGGGGATTATGTGTAAGTGATATGCTATATTTAAGGTATGTTGCATTTCTTTTTCTTTTTTTTATGATTTTGTATAAAACTAATAAATATAGATATATAAAGTAATTAACAAGGAATCTAAATTATAGTAGTAAATAAATTTCTAATATAGTATAGCTAGGTAAAAATTTCAAAAAAATAGGCGAGTCGTTGACGTGCTTAAACTTGGGGGGTCATGTTCTTTTGGGCTAATTTTGACACCCCTTAGGTGAGCTGGTGATGTGATAAAGGGAGTTAAGCGCCATCATTAACATGCTAATGGATGTTCTTGGAATATCCGATCAGAATAAACATAATGCAAATCATGAGCAAAAGCTCCACATTTTTTATATAGAAACCAAATTAAACTATATTCTATTGAATGTAAGATTATAGAACTTGGCCGTCCAGCCACTCCCAAAGAAAAACAATTAACATATATAAATATATACTAATAACACTTTTAATAAAGCACAAGTAGACAACATAATGATACTATTTTCTTCCTTTGTGATATTTTAGCATGATCATGACTTGATGATTGTATTGACCTGTGTTTAGCCACATTTATATATTTTGCTGTTTGTTGGACATTATGGACATTACCGATAGTCCCTTCACTTTTTGCATTCCTTTTCTTTTTTAAATCATTTTCTCTTTGTTAGTGGAAAACGATTGTGGAATGACCTATGCATATCCCACACTCAGTACTCAGTAGTCTAGCCTGTCTAGGATAGATTCCCCCTCCCCCCCCCCCCCACCTTTTTCGTACCACATAGTAGTAAATTTTTGTATTATATATTTGTGGTGTCCGGAACCATTTGTGTACATACACCTGGATATCACAGATATCGGTAATTTTCATTAAAACTTAACTTGGACAAATGAGAATTAGAAATCAACTGATATTTTTTCTACGCTAAACTTAATTCCTCATGATTTTCAACCTACTATTAAGCAGTACCTTGGATGCCACNTATATATATATATATATATATATATGTTGGTGTACATCTCTTTTTAATATTATAAGCAAAAGGAAAATGCTTTCTTTTTTCACAAAATTTTGATGATTAATTACATCATGTAAGAATTGCAACTTGTCCCTAATACTGTGAATGGATTGGGAACAAGAAGCATGGGCGGAGCTAAAAGCCGAAATAAGAGTTCGATCTATGTATTAAGAAATTCATTCAAAATATGTACAAAAATAAAATTCAGAACTCAATTAATAACACCTATACTCGCTTAGTCTAAGATATATAAAGCATTTTAACTGGCAGCGTATGCATTTTTGTTTAATTCATTGTAGATACACTTAGATATTTGCGTAGGTTAGCTTGGAAGCTGTATGGAACTCAAAAATAGTAGGTTTAGTGTGTTGCTTGAAGAAGAAAGATCAATATTCTTGAATCTAGCAATTGAATTCAAAGTACATATACAACACTTGCAAGCTAGCTTATAGTACTGTTTATAATTATTCATGAAATAAAATGATCATATTGGCATTGACCATAAAATACCACTTTATCATTGTTCCTAAATACTTAGCTAGAAAGGCAAATATATAGCATCAGCAACAGTCAGCCCTGACTTCAGCAGCATATATTGAGAGTGACTGCTTCTGATGTTATATCATATATTTCATCATATCATCACTTCATCATCATTAACTTTAATTTGACTTGTGATCTATGTTGCGCAAGTCTCTTTAAATTGTCGCTAGATATCTTACGGATCCTTCAAAAGTAATACGTATTGAAATATCCGGAGTGCGACAGTATTTTAGAGAGTCCGATCAACATAATTTGATCTTATAAATATCCTCCACCTAGTGCTGGAGCCCAGTAATCGGCAACAATGTCATTTCCAACATGTTGTGTGCAAGATATAGGAGCCAAGCACAGCCCTCTACTCCTCAAATCCTTGGCTCTATGCTGAGAATCCTACAAAATTTATTTCAAAATCATATAACTATGAAAAATTTGAAGGAGATTTAATAGTTGCCGGAAAAAAAATGAAGCTATTTGATAATTGTTGTTATTAGTGCTGATAACTAGCTAAATTATTAGTACTTCTATATGAATAAAAGGGACTCATTTAAAATTTTCATCACTCGTTTCTTGAGTAGAACAAGCTAACGTTTGGATATAGATTTAATTAAAACTTGAAAAAAGAATTTTTCAAAGTTATGTTAAAAAATAGTTTTTGAAAGTTGAATTTGTGTTTTGATATTCATTTTATTTCAAAAAAAATTAAAATTTTATGAGTGGAAGAAAAATTGTTATCCAAAAATTGCCCTAAATCAATTTTTGGATACTTGAAATTTTATTTCAATTTTTTTACAAACTGATCAAATTCTATGAACAAATAACAATTTTTTTCTAAGAGATCATGTCGTTCAAGAACTTCAATAATTGTTTGAATTCATAAAGTTGGCAACTTTCGCACCTTAGGACAATTTCTTTTTGAAAAGGAAATTTTGACACTAACGCAAAGCATCTCAAAGCTTGCTTTTTGGCGAGGGATCCAATAAAGCAGCCACATGATCAAATTCGTTGGATAATAAACAACTATAGTATTTTTCTTGAATCATGGTAGAAAATTGTTATTCATTAATATCAAATTAATCCAATATATGATTAGTGTGACATGCACGTGTATGATGGATGTGAAAGAGAAGAGGGAATATAATCTTGGTCGTTCATTGGAAAATGTGAAGAAAACAAACAACTCATGAGATCGATATATATACTCACAGATTGTTGGTGAGTGTGACCCATGCTTCCTGCTACATTGCCCATGTATGGAGAGCTCAATGCCTGCATATGTAGTGCACGAACAGAAAAAAAAAATTAACCAAAAAAGCTGTTGAAAAAAGAAACTATACATTTCGTTTCATTTTATAGGACAATGTTTGATTATATATAAAATTGAGAAAATAAAAAGACTTTTATAAGCTCATACGGAATGTGTCCTAAGAACTTGTGATTTCATACGCGTCATAATATTTTATGGCTATATAAGATATAAAATAAAAAGTTTAAAATTAAAGAATTTTAAAATACAAAAATATAAAAGGAAATAATGTCATACTATAAATAAAATAAAATAGAGGAAGTAGTTTCATAGCAGCGATAATTTTTTTCCTTCTCTAATTTGAGGATACTTAGAATTTATACGTGAAAATAAATGACTCTCGGAACGAATATCTTGATTCTCGCATCCGTAAAGAACTTAATGAAATATGATACTTCGTGTGAATTGTAGAATCCATGAATATACGTGAACTCACGATCTTTCTGTCAAACCAGATATTTTAAATATGTATTTTATAGAATTGATCTAATATTATATGTTGACATCCATGCTCCACAAATATTGAATGATGCATTTGTTTGATTGATTCTCACTTAATACTTTTTTAATAGTATATCCGCCTCCGACAAATCGTATATATATGGAAAGTAGGTTAAGAAATAGAAGAGGAGAGACCTGAATTTGACCCTGAAGGAATCTGATGTAGCCAATAGCTTCTGACAAGACGGAGGCTGTGTCAGTCTGCAAAAGAGTAAACATGCATATTCCATGCCTTAGCATTAATCCAAACTCGGCGTAAATATTATAAATGATCGTATAACTATGACTTTCTTTTATTGATCATTCTCTTTAATTTCTTTTTTTTGTCAGATCTTTTTCTGAAGATAACTTTAAAGACAATGCTTCATGGGTATATATATTAAAGCAAAAGTGAAAGATTAAAATCTGTTTCTGTAATCTCCTTTTATGGGTTTCATCATAAACTGTCAGCACTACTAAATTGACTCTACATAATTAGTCTATTATATTCCTTGCTATGAGAGATCGAGCTAAGTAGCACAAATTAAGAGACTGTACTAAGTTTAATTTACTTTACCTTTCCAAATGGAGAAACAAGTTGGTGGAGTGCTGTTATCCTATCCCCTAGCTTCTCTTTTCTTACCTGCAGCTTAGAATATATATATATAAACAAATTAAACTATATATATATTAGTGAGGACTTCATGAACTCTTCATGCATAGTTTTCAGCTATATGTTGCTCAGAGCTATTAAAAAATGTCAATAGGTTCGTGTCGAATCCTTCAGTATTTTTGGAGAATACAACACGGATACGGTAACATATTTTTGAAAGTCCGAGTAATATGGCTTTTTAATGACTTGCTTGATCAGCAGGTGCAAGAGACTTATTCAACAAAATATATAATTACATTGAATTAGAATTAAAGATTAATGGGGGATATGGAATTAATAGAGAATTATATTACCTTGAGAGATGGTTGAGCTGAGGAATGCTGAATTCTAGCCTTCTTTGTTACCCCTCCACTGCGTGTGCTGTTACACTTTCAAAGTAAAAAAAAAAGGTTAAGCAAAACATACTTTGAGAGCTAAAAAGAGAAAAATAGTGACACCTAGCAAAGCAAGTAAATACACCTGAATTAATCATCTTTTATTATGATTAATTCGTTTGGCTAATGATAGAGTAATTTGGCATTTATCATAAAATTACCTTTTCCTTTTGGAATGTTACTTATGTACTTATTGACTTTATGCAAAGATAAAGATGAAAAATCCACTTTTCGAAATAACCTAAATTAACACTCATCCAACTATTTAAACTAAAATAGTGGACGGATATTATTTTTTTATAATCATTATATAAAGCAAATAGTGAATCTGACCCGTTATTTGGTTAAAGATCTATCCCTTTCTTTTCTTACCTCGGATGAATGGTCTGGATGTTGATGCTTGACTTCCACCTTACTGGTAATTTTATTACCAGAAAAATTCAAAATATCATGGCTTAAATTTGTGGTAACACAAGAGTTAGCTGGTGATGAAGCTGCTGGCAAATCTTGGTAATTACTGTACAATACTTGGCCCACTACTTGTGGTTTTACATCAACAACAGGAACCCTAAAACTAGAAGATGATGGATTGATGGGATTCAAACTTTGGACTTCTTCCCACTTCTCCTGCAGCTTCTTGTACTGATGAAAATGACTCATACCAGACTTTTCTTGTTCACCCGATAATCCAGACCTGCAATTTAAATAGGGACAAAATAAGAAGGAAAAAAATTAAAGTTTCACCAAGTCAAAACACCACACTCATGACTTGGATTAACACATAATCCACATAAAATGATCAAGTACAACAGAAATAGTTAGGGAGGTAGTTTGTGACGGTGATTTTTCAATCTTATCTTCTAGGTAATTTAGAATCCTTATACATGAAGTTGTTTAATTTTGCCGTGTGGTTAGACTTTATTACTGATTTTTTTACCACATTTTTCATAGGGTCCTTTTATCTCGTCCTTCTCTAAGCTCTGGTCATAAAAGAAGGAAACGAAAAGAAAGTATAAGTAAAAACTGGTTTTCATGATGTCTATATCTATCTATTAAAAAACTCAAAACTCATACCATGGAAGTTCTTTGGAAATCCAAAAGTAATTGGCAAAGAAAGACTCTTTATTTCGCACTACAAAACTTTTTAGTCTTTGAAGTTTGATAACAAATAACATGGTAAATACAAAGACTACAAATGTTTAGGGTAACATATTTAAACCCTCTACACAAATTAAACTGATTGTTTTTCTACCGTCACAAGGTAAGAATAAGGCATGAGTACACATCATCCTCCCAGACCTCATTTCACTGTGGTTGTTATTGTTGTACACAAATTAAACTGGCTATAACAACCAAGAAAAACCAAAAGAGTTAAAGAGTATTTACAGAAGTAGCTGGCTCCATGAGCGAGGGAAATCTTGGCTTGGAATATTAATATCAGCCAAAAAATTAGAAGATCCATAAAAAAGCTGAGACGACGACGAAGAAGAAGAAGAAGAAGAAGAAAAGTGCTGAGATTCATGATTGGGATGCATGCTTCCGTTCATCATCATGCTCCACCAGTTATTTGTAGGATTTCCAGCCATCAGTTACCTACTACTGATTATTGTAGCTAGAAACACATCTTAATATTTAAGGGGAAAAAAAATCCTATCTTTCTTTCTTTCTTTCTTTTTAGCTAGCTTTACATATGAGTAGCTAGCTTTGTCTGTCTTCTTTCCTTGTGTGAGCACCAAAACGAAACTTAGTTGAAGCTTTCAGGTCTCTATTTGCTTTTCTCAGAAGAGGTAGAAGAAACCAATATGTCCCTTTCAAATATATATTTACTTAGTAGTATTTCTTACTTGTGGGGTTGACTAGCTTTGAGGTTTTATTTTTTTGTTTTCCTCTCTAGCTAGCTCTTCCATCGATCGTTCAATTATATGTGTACTTATTCTTCTTTATTTTGAAAAATTTCTTGCTTTAGCTTTACTGTAAAGTGGGGGCAAGAAAAGGCTGGTGGGGGAGTGTTTTCAGGCCATTAAAAAACAAATGCTCGTGGGGTTTTAATTCCTTGATTTGGGGTGACGTGGTAACTTTGGGATTGTTTATTTTCTCTAACTAGCTATACATATGTCGAGCTGCCTTCATTGCTAGGTCATATCATATTATTATCATCTAAAGGAGATCATGCACTTTTCCGGAGTAATAACCGATCAACTTTTAATTTCTATACACTAATTGTATAAGAAAAAATTATATTATCAGATTATTTACATGCAGCTTTCACAAGTAATGAAATTACACGTTATCAATATATATCTGCTGCCTACTTTAAGTTTTGTTCATATATAGTCTAGTAATGATGTCTATCTTCCCTGTTTTGAGAGGTTACTTTCTCACGTCCAAGTAAATAACATGTTGAGACAAAATTTTATTGCTCGAGCAAACGGCTAGTTGTATGACAATTCATCTTACTCGGCTAAGACAGTTAACTCGTACACTCTTACATAGTCATTTTGAGGTATAGTTGTTGGTAAAAGTGGATGGATTAATTTCACGTAGGTAGTAGAAGTCAAGGAGAGTAGCATGTACAGTCAAATCTTTCTATAAGTCTAGTTTTGTTCTGATACTATTATTTTTACTTGAAAAATTCTTTATTTTCAAGTAAAAAGTGAAAGAAGAGAATATCATGGTGTCCTAGTCAATTTTAACCTCAAATAAAAAGTTCATCTCAGTAAATTTATTTCTTTGTGTCGCCTAATGGAAAGAAGAAAAGATATGATAACCTTTCAAATAGTCGTTCAACTTTAAGGGTATTATCACTTTTAGCTCGTGTCAGAAACTATTTACATATGGTAGCCGAAAAAGTATATAAAACTTGTATATAACATACAGAATGTATACATATACAAATTTTATATATTTTTCAGCTATTATTTTTATATCGGCTATCCAGCGTCATTTTTCCTCAACTATTTAACTACAAAATACAAATACTCCTTTGTTTCAACTTTAACTAAATATTGTCCAAATGTGTACCTAGTGAGCCCTCTACCAGACTAAGAGCCCGTTTTGATTGACTTATTTTAAGTATTTTTAAGCCAAAATAGTTTTTAAATCATTCTGTAGTGTTTGAATAAAGTAAAAAGTGCTTTTAAGCATTGTTTTTAAGCTAAAATGACAAAAACAAGCCAAAAAACAAAAGTTAGAATTCATAATTTATGACTTAAAAGCTATTTTGGCTTAAAAGTCACATAAAATAAGTTCATCCAAACGGTCTAACTTATGTGGGTTCATAAATAAAACTTGAATAAAGGAAAAGACGGACGTGATATGTGTACGTGCAACTTGCTATATAGATTATTCTTAGTGCTAGCCAAACCAATTCTTCTCGACATGCGCGTGCCTACTGCCTCGTTTTGTTTGGTCATGGTTGCCAAATTGGGCTATCTGAATACCCCTTGACACATACACTAACACTAACACTAACTTTTCTCATCCCACTGTTAGGTCATAGGTGGCTGCAAAAGAAAACATATACTATATGAAGCCCTTTTTACTTGAGTAATTAGAATGGAACTAGCTATACTGCATGTGTAACCCCACTCTAAAATTGCCAGTTCAGCTCTTCCGCAGATTGATTTGAAGTGTTCGTCCTAATAACCGTGACTGGTAGTACAAATTTAGAGCAGACGCAGAGTATTAAGCTATCCAAAACTTTTTGCTAATGAGTTAAAAGCTAACGGTGACTAGAAAAAGAAAAGAAAAGCTAATGGTAACAATTAAGAATTTAAGTTCTATAGAAAATATTTACAAGACTAGGTCATTTAAATCAATTACAAGTACTCTATTTAACCTGATAACAATCAATGCATCCCGCACGCACGCAAGGACGCATCCCAAAGGTATAATATAGACATCCTAGCATAAGCATCAGTGGCTACTTGCACAGTTCGGATCCGTGACCTATAAGTCACACGGAGATATCCTTACCGTTGCTCCAAGGCTCCAGTTAAATTACACTAATTGTGTAAATAATTTATTACATGGTCAGCATATATAGCTAATTCCAACAATAAAGTACCTATTGGACCAATTCAGGAGTCTTATCGCTAACGGCATACTCCCTTTTTATCCTAACTATCTTTCGAGCTTAGATTGCTACTAGGGACAAGTGTAGTTTTTATTTGAGGTTTTTTGACCCTTGTAGACCCAACCAAAAAGATAAGCGGAAAAAGGAAATACGATGCTGAAATTGAGAGGACTTACCTTTAATGCAATTCATTCACCTATAAGCCCATGGAAAGAACAGAAAGGTAAGGATTAATGGTCTAAATTCCCATGAAATCACACGTTATGATGAACTTTTACTGCTCAAATACTTCAACGGCTCTTATCAATTTAAAAGCATTATAACCTGCACATCACTTGGCAACTTTACATGCAGATTCAGTAACACACCGCACACTGGCTTACAATCTGAAACTGTAAGGAAATGAAAGATTTCTCTCTTTTTTGTCCATTCTTTTAAGTTTTAATTAGGAAGTTACTCTGACCAAAACTAAAAAAGGGCTGCTTGAGCCATTTGATAAAAAATTGAATCAATTGTGACCTGTGACTGATCAAACTTTTAAGAGAATCTCTAAAATAAGCATATAAATGAGATTAAAAAGAAAGGCTATATTGAAAGAGACAAGAAACTTTAACAAATGAATGCACTCAATAAAGCAGATCAAGTTGCTTTATAGAGGAATCTTGATTCCTAGTTCAATTTCTATGTTATCTTTGGGCAACTTTTGATCCATAGTTTGACTGAAGCTTGCCTTTCCCGTCATTTCATTTCACGTTGGACAACAATTATTGTTTCTGACTAATGTTGACCAAACCGCCATGTCGTTGCATAGCAGCAACCGGTTCGCCACATCGGGGGCAACGGAAAGACGGAGCAGCGGAGCACCGTGTTTGAAGACAGTAGTAACAGTAGCTGTATAGTGACAGAGATACATAAACCTCACAGAACAGCAGTTACTAACAGGATACTGAAAACTAGAAATCAGAACACAAATGACGTCAAGTCGTCAACCCAAATGGATGACAAGATGAAGGCACAAGCAAGATATCCCCTCTGCAATATCTAAAGATACAATTGCCTTAATAGTGGACTGACTACAATAGATATTTCTGTTACTTCGTCTAAACTAGTTTTGTATACATGACAACTTGGTTATACTTGGTAGTTTGTATAGGTATCAGATCTATCTTGATGTTCCCATCTTTCTATATTTTGACCCATTGATTGGGTAAAGTTACCGACTCTATCTGGAAATGAAATCTTAATATGCTTTCCCAATATCTTTGTACAATGTCGATAACTATACTTTTCATAATAATTTAAATGAGCTTTAAAGAAGTGTTATTTCCACATAGAAACATACACTAAAAAATCATTAAAGGTATCTATAAAATGGCTCAGTCTAATCCCTAAACTTTGTCTTTGTCTTTCCTTTCTAAATCATAAGATTGAAACATATAGCCTAATTTTAGTTTGTGAGGGCCTAGTGCAGAAGCAAATTCAGGATTTAAGCTTTATGGGTTCAACCTTTAAGGTTTTTAGCATTGAACCTATTGTATTTTAAAAGTTATGGGTTCATATATACTATTTGTTGCAATTTTGGTAGTTTTTAGACATAAGTTTATGATCCGCGCTGAAAGTGTTAGGTTCAGATGAACCTGGTATCAGTATGCAGCATCCGCCACTGGCCTAGTGGCTGCAAATTAAAATCTGTAAGTCCAATTCAGTAAATAAAATTCTAAAAATTCTAGTGGACGTACAGCATTATCACACACGTCACGAGTTCAAATCCAAATACTAACTACTAAGTCAAGCATAAAAACGAGCACAAAAGAAGATGGAGCCAAAAAAAGAAAATAAAGATAGTGGATATACCTGCTGAGATGAAGCAAGCGAGCGAGGTAGTAACTTATTGCAGGTAGTGAGCCAAGCGTCTTGTTGAAATTGTCAAAAGTCTCACATCGGTGGATGACAATTTTGAATGGGAATTTCACCCTATAAAAGGAGGCCTAATGTTTAGGATTTAAATACACCTCTCATTTGCCTTTTTATCTTCTTAAGGCATTTGTATCTTCTCTCTTTAGTATTATTTCATTTGTAATTTTAGAGTGGAATAAAATATTGATTGTGTCCGAGGAAGTAGGCAAAATTGGCTGAACCTCGTAAATTCTGGTATTCTTTTATTGTTGTCTTATTGTCTTGTTTATTATTTAGTGGTTGTCATAATTTTTGGTATAGTAGTTGTGACTCATTC